TTCCTCTCCTAATATAAAAGAATTGTTAGAGAAAAGAGATGAGCCTTTTTTATGATATAAAAATGCAAGAAAGTTATTTGAGATTTGATAGAGAAAATCATGAATACTGAATGAAACCTATATGTTTTGAATCAGGTTTTTGTGATAGAATTATATAGCTCCTATAATTCTTCATAACATGGGATAATTGAATGCAATCTGGAGAATGCCCTCTCAATAGATAACTCAGGGGTACTGGAATATAAACAGTATATTCTCTGGAGAGATATTTTCAAGAAAGAGAATTTAAAGAAAATGTTTAAACATGTTATGTTTGATTATCAGGAAATGTCGAATTGTCATATACTCTATGACACAATTCAATTTTATATTTAAAAAAAGCATATGGTCATACATTTAATGTTTTGGTCTGACTGCTGATTTTTTGCTTTGAAGTCTATTGCAAGTGGTTTACAAGTTAAGCTATTTCTAGATATATCAGGAATATTAGAAGCAGGTGGCACAATCCTGGAATTAAGGTTACCAGAATTTCTTCAGGGTTCTTGAATAAATATCAGTGTTTAGAGTGAAAAAGTCAAGTTTTGTCTACAAGGTTCCTTTCACTGAGAGTCAATATTTTTGTTTTATCTGGCTCAACCTCTTATACCAATTGGGACATTTATACAGATTAATAATGATTTCACAAGAAAAATTCTTTAAAATATCTAATATTCATAGGCATAGCCATAGTGTGATGGGCACATGGATCGCGCCCCCCCCCCCCCCCAACCCAACAAAAAAGGAGAAAAACAATTTTGTAAAATTTGTTGAAAAAACATTAACAAATTATAGTTTAAAATGCTTCAAATACAATATATAAAATGATACTTCAAAAAGTTTGGGAGTGAACTCAAAAATCTTTACAATTGCTAGTTACTCCCCTGAATGTTGCTCATTCAATTGAAGTTGCAAATCAAGAATTTTATGGCTGAATTACCAAAGATGATAACATCATAACTGATATGGTAAAACTGTCCCTCCCTCATATGGGTGTGTTATGGTAAAGTTGACATGATCTATTGAATAGAAACACATTCATTTGAAACACAGCCAAGTAACTGTATATAATAAAGGATATACTTTTTACTGAAATAAGATACTTTCAATATCAAAATTTGACTCACAATTGAATTTGTAAAACCATGGTGATAAGAAATATTAAATCACAACCTTTTTTGACCCATTCATCAATCATTTACCACTATGCCTTTGATTTGTAACAAGCTTAATATTGTCACACTAAATCAAACCAGTGTTTCGTGTCCATATATCCATGTATATGATTTGAATTATTGCTGTTTCATATTGAAACCTAGCTTTACCAGCCAGTGAACTTATTTTGAAACATACAAGAAAGATGAATAATGATGAAAGCCCAGATGATCTTCCAATAAATCATGTCTACAAAATATTGATTCTGCAAGCCTTAAACACCAACAGGTTAAATTAAAAAAACGAATACTCAATCTTTATTGGCAGGACATGATCCTAAACAGCTGGGAGTTCATGGAAAGATGTACATGAATTGCATAACAATAGAAAAACATTTATAGATTTTAACATAATAAGATATGCCATGTGCTGCGATTGAATTGATATTAAAACCTTTTGAAGATTTTTTTAGCTGTTTACCATCGATTATTTTTTCAGTTCAACAAATACAATCATATGCGAGCTGCATTAATAGAATGAAATCACATTAGTAGTTGAAACGGTCTCATATTATAGGAAGTTCCAGTGGAAACAACTTAATCCGTTTTGTGAATCTAAATGAGAAATTATTATTTGATTATCTGCTATATATATATAAATGAATTTTATTGTATTTTTCAGAAACCTCTCATTGACAAAGGCGGATAATTATATAAATCAGGGAAAGTTAGGTAAGATCTTATGTTGATTTTATTTTTTACGGTGTATTGTAAATCTAAGATTTGAAACTTTTGTTTTATCATGAGTTATCACAATCACCCATACGTCTGTTTGATGGCCAGTTCATCTATTTTTATATTAATGATATAATCTCAAGTCACTGTGACATCTCCTTATTTCAAAAGGTTTACAGTTACATTTAGTCACCAAACATCAAACAATGAATATGTGGCTTTATCCTATGCCAAGTAGAGTTTTAGGGAGATAAGTTGGTAAGATATATCCCGTATCCTGATTTTGAGGTTTCCATATCCTGAACCTCCATATCTCCCGCTCCAGGGCATATCTTCCCGCTTCAAAAATAAAATTCAAAAAAATAAGAAAAATCGAAAAAAAAGAAAAAATGTGAAAAAAAAATTTAAAAAAGAAAAAAATTGAAAAAAAAATTAGAAAACTCTACTTGGTATAGGATAAAGCAGTTATGTATGGTCGGTTTGGATATTGGGTTAATTCCCTATGGTCCCTCAGGTAGATGCATATCTCCCTCTGGATAAACCCCATATCCAAAACCTCCCAGTACATAACCCTTATATATGGTGCATTTTAGAGAAAAAATAAAGGTATTGCGTTCAATTAACAAATGTTCCAATTTTTTTGGACCACCCTGTATATTCAAATAGTATTAGGTAAAACATAAGTTTTCCATATTATTTTTTGGAAAGTATGGTTAATTCACCAAATGATTGGTCACATTTATGTAACACCCTTTAATAATAGACAGACACTTAAAATGAAATGAATATAAATAAATGTAAATATCTGACACTCCCCTTCATAAGTTTGGCAACCTGATATTTTCATTAGGTAGCGTATCAAAGTCTGTTAATTTTTAAATCTTAATGATGTTCTTTAACAGAAATTTGTGACAAATTATTTGAATCACCAAACCTAAAAAAGGCTGTGATGAATGATCCAAAACAGGACTTCCAGTTGCCAAACTTATGAAGAGGGGTGTACAATGTACATGTGTATATTATGTACATAATATTGCATCTAATTAAGAGATGATCTTCACTGAAGTTGAGCAATGTGGGGCTGTGAAAAACAGGCAATGATATTTGGTGATATAGACTATTGATGGTAGATGGTTACTCCACTTAATAAAGGATTTTATCAGAAGATATAAAATATTATTCATATTTTCTTTTTTGTTTGAATGTAATATGAATGACCAGAGCATGCATATTATGAAGACAAAATGTCCTTCAATTTTATGACGCAGATCATTTATCATCAATTGTTTATTGTGTAGTTTTTACATTTGTATGTAGTAGTTTGTTCAAATATCTTTATGTCTTATCTTCTAGTTCTTCTCTGATGCATTTGAAATCACACAGTGTTTAGGTGTCCAATGTCAAAGGTTTGTCATTGATTTTAGATTTTTCATTAAATGTGATAGAAAATATCAAGTTTTAGAGCTGATTAACTTTTGGGCAGCCATCTTATATTCTTAAGGCCATTTTGAAGTGTTTCGTTAAATCTTGTCATCCCCATTTTAGGAAAATTGCTCGTCATTTTCTCTCCAAATCCGCACACATGAGAGATGATATCAAGTTCTAGTGCTGATTAACTTTTGGGCAGCCATCTTGTATTCTTTAGGCCATTTTGAAGTGTTTCGTTAAATCTTGTCATCCCCATTTTAGGAAAACTGCTCGTCATTTTCTCTCCAAATCCGCACACATGAGAGAGGATATCAAGTTCTAGAACTGTTTAACTTTTGGGCAGCCATCTTGTTTTCTGGTAGCCATTTTGAAGGTTTGGATGGTATAATCTCGTTCACGTCATGTGCCTTGTTTATAATGTGTGTAATATTAAATGTCAAAGCAAAATACTGATTTGAAGGTAAATATAATGATTTCACACTTATCAATCAAAAAATTTCAATGAGTTTTTTTTTGTTTATTTATTTTGGTTCAATTCTATAGTTTCAATGTGTTGATAATGAAATATATTTGTCAGTGGAGACTTTGATGGGTTTGGTTCATTGCATAGACTATGGTGTCAGATTAGACCACGGGATGGGTGGGGGTTACCAGTTTCAATTTATTGTGTTAAGGACCCTTTAGTTTGCATAATTTTATGTATAATTTAATCTGGATAGATGTTGAAATAAACTCATAAATAAATGATAAAATAATGTCGAGATTGCAGCTGAAACATTAAATCAATTGAGTCAGTAATTTAAATGAAGAAAGGAATAAAATTATGGTAATTTCGAAATAATTTCAGCTGTGCTGCTGTGGTATTGTGCCACATCATCATTTTAAATATTTTATGAATGTGTACTCATTGCTTAACTACCATGGACATTACCTAACTCAGCATGGACAAGTCAATGATTTTTATGACACAAATAGAGGTCATTAGTACCACACATGAGTGGGTTGAATAATAGGAAACAGACAACATGCTAAATAATAATTATTTTTATTTATATACAGTACTTTTTGGTTATTTAAAGTGTTTACAGTGTAACATTGATATCACATGTTGTATAGTCATACAATGAAATTGCCTTACTTTTAGCTTTGCTCAATACAATATACGGCCTTTTGTATGTTGGGCGTTCAAAACATTTCACAATTAAATGGATATATTATACATTTATAAAAGGAGGCTTACCGTTGAACTATATTTATTTAACTATTTAAAGCTAGGTGCTTGATCTCTATTTATTGCAGTGGGAATTAAGTTTAACTTTAAGGGAGTGACCACTGTTTATATTCCTTGTATTGGCCTGGACTTCATTCCAGAATTTTTATATTGAAATGGTGAAGGATACAGTACGATTTTGAATTCCTTATAAAGCTATATCCTATATGTCTGATTCTGTCTTTAGATTTTAACATCAAATCTGTAAGTACACAAAAAGATAATAGTAAATGGCCACTCCTCAGTGTTTTCATTCAACAATTGAAGCGATTGTATTTGGAGTTTTCTCAAAATGTACACCTTAATATTGACCTTAAATTTTATTTATTTATTTTTTCAGGAGTGCCTGTATTGTAGATTGTCCTGGTGATCTCATATAGAGAGGAGTGAAGTGATGGAGGCCAATCTGAATATGGCGCTAATAACAATCAGGCACTAATAACAATTAGGCACTAATAACAGTCTTTTATTCAACTGAAACAGCTGTAACATACTTATAGAACCTCTCTACAAGTCCAGTAGCCAGACATGGAAATTTAATATTTAACAACTTAACAATGTAAACTCAACTCGAAGGAAGTCAAAGTTCAGGTGTTTAAATAACCGCATAAAATGTCAGGAATGGTTGAACAAAAGTGATGGCTCTCAATTCAACACTTAAGCTGTTGTATATGACTAAACACCAATTAGTTTATTGAAACAACAATTAATTTATGCCACTTACACCACAGTCAACAACTGGTGAAAACTAAAAATTTGCAAGCGACTGCTATACATGTAATTCATACAGAGGATCCTGATAAAGTTATTGGATTATACTATGGATGAGACGTTAACAAGAAGTTTAGAGATAAGTTAATGTGGTACATGTACTTCAAATTATAAGGTTTACAACTACATCCTGCCGCTAAGATACCAAAGAAAACACATCTTATATAGTGCCTCCTCAAGGACTGGAGTCTCACAAATTATGAAAAACAAATAGCATCCATTCTAGTGATTGCAAAATGTTCTTCTTGGAATTGTATTAAAAATTAAAATATATTAGATTACAGAAGCATATGTTGCCATAAATCTAGAATTACTTAATCCAACATTGAAGTATTAAAGTATTAAACAATAGTCCATCACGTATCAAAATCATCATGCCAGAAGGGGTCATGATCGTACCTACAACGGACAGCAAAGTCTTAAGGACGCCATTAACTCTAGTACAGTTGTTATTGCTCAACTCTATAATTTGCGGCCTTGAGTTTTGTGCCAGCGCAGGATTTACATATATTCCTCCAATGTTACTGAAATCTGGAATCAGTGAAAGTTTCATGAGTGCGATTTTAGGCATGGGGCCCTTATTATGCTTTTTCATCGTTCCAGTCATAGGAAGAGCCAGTGATAATTGTATGAGTCGCTACGGGAGACGGCGACCATTTATTTTTGTATTCAGTATTGGATTATTACTATCATTAATTATCATACCTTATGGAGAATATCTCGGAGTATTTGCTTTTGGAAATGGTAGTCACTCAAAGGCTGTAGGTGTAGTGCTGTTAACATTAGGTGCAATATTATTAGACTTTACGAGTCAGGCATGCATGACACCATGCGAGGCTTTATTATCAGACGCCTGTAAATACACAAATCAACAGGACCGTTGTTTCACTATATATTCATTAATGTGTAGTTTAGGAGGGTGCATTGGATACCTCATCACCTCACTAGATTGGAAATCCAGCTCAATCGGACAGTATTTCGGCAATCAAGAAAAATCCGTCTTCTCTTTACTGATACTTCTATTTTTATTTACGATGTTCGCTACGATATGTATAGCTGAAGAAGAACCTCTAAGTCCTATCGAAGTTAAGCCATCGGATAAGCTATACTTAACGCCAAATAATAGTTTCATTGTAAAGACAATGGATGACCAGGAAGGTCTGACAGTAGGTGTCAATGACTTGGGATATGAGACTAGTAGTAACCAGTCTCTATCGGATGATAACTGTAATAACTTTCCCTTGAGCCTCCAGCCTAGCCAAATTGTACATAACAATGAAGTAAGTCTCCACAATGAGAAGTCCATCCACAATGAAAGGTCCCTGAACACTAATAAGTCTCTACAAAATAGCAGGTCTTCACAGAATGATAGGTTCCCAATAAAAAAATCAAGGACAAAATGTGACGAGGCTCTTACTAATGAGGCATGTGCCCGTATTGCTATGAGAGTCACAGCCATGACTAAAATCAAGAGAATTATACACTCAATCTTCTCATTTATCGCCTTAAAAATTTACAATGTGCTTCCAAGTACTGTCAAAAATATTCTCCAAATTCCGCTAGTTTTGCGTAAACTGGCATTCGCCAATTTCTGCAGCTGGACTGCAATCATGAGCTTTAATCTTTTCTTCACTGACTTCGTTGGCCAACACATTTATGGCGGGAACCCAAATGCTGATGAGACCAGTCATCTGTCTCATCTATATGACCAGGGTGTCCGCATGGGCAGCTGGGGGTTATTCCTCCATTGTATTACATCAGCTATATTTGCAGCGTTCATTGAGAATCTCTGTAAGACTTTTGGGATCAAAGCGACATATTTCTTTGGCATGCTGTCGTTTACTCTCGCGATGTTGGGAATGTTGCTTGCTGATAATCCTGCCTTGGTCAATATAATGGCCTCATTGACAGGATTTGGATTCGCTACTCTGACCACGATTCCATTCATCTTGGTGACGTCATACCATGAAGAGAAAGAGGTATGGTATTTTGTTTGAATTCTGATATCATTCCTATTCTTAAACTATCTTTAAAAGGTACTTCAGCTGTATTAGAATTAAGTGAACTAAGTCATCAAAAAATCTGAAAAAAATTACACCTCGTCAATGCTATCCCTATGGTCATCGTTTAGTTTAATTTGAATGTATAATATTTATACTTTTTATATCATTTTTTTATAGTACCCACTAGTCTTGTGTTCTTGCTACCATATGTTTGGAATAAATTTAAACATCTATCGAACCCTAATTAGAATAAAATGACATCTACAAACATGTACTGTATTCAATCAGATCAGCGCTTTTAAAACTCAAGATAGATAGAAAAAATCTCGATGAATGAATATTGAAAAACAACTCAATTGAGAGTAGTTTATTTAGTTCAATCTCTGAAGATTTCAAGTAAGTATTGATTGGGATCGTAGAATGCGTCATGAATTAACAGATGGGACGCACTGAGCTAAAGAATCTGCGTTTTTTCTGTGAAAACCGCGCCAAAGACGCAAAAACGCAAGCTATTGACATCACTGTGTTCTTACTTCTCTCAATATCATAGTTATACAAGGAAAGTTAGGTTGAGTTAGGTTTAAAAGAATATCTAAAAAATAAAATAGAATATGTTTTAGATTAAACTACATTTTTCATATTATAGTTGATATCATAATAAGCAACTTTTGAAGCCATGTTTCAAGCTGTAATTTCTTATATTGATTAAAAAATGATAGATAACTTTAATTTTGAATATTTAATGACTTAAATTAGGATTATTTCAATGATAACCACATTGTTTTATGTATTGATTGATTAAGGTATATCAGGCAACTCATAAATCAGAATTGGTCATTGGAGCATTCAGGTCATACGTTTCAGTAACTGATTACAAAAAAACTGAAGTTATAACATTCTGAATCAAACTTCAGTGACAACTTGCCTGTTTTATTGCCTTAGTTCAAATATTTAGTTGCCTATTGATCGCAAAGACCAAAGTGTAAAACTGTACTCCATTCATTCGCTATTGTTTTTCATTTTTAAATGCCATTTAGTTTTGCTATCCATTAACAAAAGCCATTTTATGATTTCCTTTCAATGTTTTTTTGAAAGAATAAAGATTAAAAAGGAGGAGGACTTTGGAACATATTTATTATTCTAAATAATGTTAGGCTCTCCTGAATTGAGTTCTTGTTTAGCAGACCTTGCAACCCTTGAAATATGGGTTTTATTCAGAGAGACAATTCCTGGGAGGTGAATATTATTTATGCGAGAGGTATTTGGAGATGAATATGATTTTTTGAGGGGGATATAGAGGGACAATAAGATTTTTTTCAATATCAAAAATATTTCCCAATGTTATTCACTCGGAAGTTGTAGTATTATGGGATAAAATATTGTATTGTCCCTTGGAAGAAAACCCATATTTCCCTCCCCATTAATAAACTTTATTTATTCCATGAATAAGTAGACCTGTTCCCTTTGAAATTCAGTCTACCACGAGCCTAATACATACTATGTATTTACATGTAGTTCTCTCAAAACACTTAGGTACTGTAGTCTAACTCAAACGTATTCAGACAGTAAAATGTCATTTTGACATTTGAAAGTCTTCTAAAAAATATGAAAAGTTATATCTGTGTCTTATCTTTAAGGGTATATTGTTAGTATGAGACTTATTTTTTAAACATGTCTAAAGTTTTGACATGCATAAACTGATAATGAATTCTTAAGATTTGTGACATTGAATGCCACTATTTTATAACACAAACTGGTATAAGTACTTATGAACTTTATTTAATTTCATTTGAAATATATGAATCATAATTGAGAAATCCAAAGATAGAATATTGAAAATCCTTCAATTTGATTGATTCCAATAGTGGCTGGTATTTTACTTTACTCTTTATATTTTTATATTTCCAGTTCTTCTACTGTGACATCAACTTCCAATACTCAACGTCAGAGAACAAACATGGATTTGGTGCCGATATGGCCATCCTCGACAGTGCCTACTTCCTGTCTCAAGTGATCCTCTCACTCTTTATGGGATCAATCGTCTCTTATACAGGCACAGTGTTGAGCTACATCATCGTTGCAGCAATATTTGGCATCATTTCATGTATTTGTATCTTGAATGTGATAACAAGCAAACAGCAGCTAGTCTCCCATATGAACGCTCAGAAAGACCCAAATAAACCAAATGGATGCGTGCAGTTTATGATATTATAGTAGAGTAGGGTTGCATAGAGATTTATTTACCTCACTCTTTGAAACTAGCATTTTTATTATGTCACCATCAGAAGTGGTGACATATCGTTCTAGTCTCTTTGTTAATGGTGTTCTGCAGTCTGTGTCTGTAACAAATGGCAGGTTGTGACATTTTGCATGTTAATGGCTTGTTGGTCTTGTTACACAAGATGACACAAAAATGCAACCCTCTAATTTGGAACAACTCTAAATTGTGATGGTACCTGAATATTTCTGTGTAAATAGAGTGTTTGTTGTTTATAATGAAAAGCATCTACAACTTTTCAATTTAGAGAAGTTGCATTTTCTCTCTGGTCATGGTATTGCATAAATAGATGGTATTGCCAAAATAGATGGTATTGCCAAAATAGATGCAATTGCCGAAATAGATGCTATTGCCCAGAGAGGTGTGATACCGTCTTTGCCACATTTTGATTCATTTTCAAATATTTTTCCACATTATGAATAACATATATGTATATGCAATTTTAAAAAATAACTTAATAAAAAAAAGTTAATAAGTAGTAAATTATGAAAACAGATTTTTGAACTTGCGCTTTAGAGTGAGTTGTCGTTAGAGCATGACTATTTGGAATATCTCAGCATAATGCTTCATGTTGAACACTTTCTCTTCAAAAGAAAAATCAAAAAGATTCCTTAATGTAATTCAAAAATATTATTCCAAAATAAGAGGGTTGTATATTTTTGTCACCTTGTAAGACCCTATTATATTTGACTTTTACATTGTTGATTTCACCATATAGACGAAAATATATTCTTAAAGTAAAAAAAAGATGTAAACTAAGTAAATGGTGCAATTTAGTGGATAGACCTATGTGCTCATCAAATATGAATCATGAGGTATGGCAGCATATATGGCTATCCTGGTATGGCTTGCAACATGCATTGATATTTCATAAACAATGGAACTATTCATAAACATTGTAAGTTATTTAATGTGCAACGGCAGTTGAGGGACAGGTCAATATATCGACATTCACCCATAAATATAATTATTAACTACATTTTTATTTGTTTTTGACCTAACATCATTTTTTCAAAGGAATGAAACAAAAACATTTATAAATGCTTATTTTCATATTTGATGGGATGGGGGGGGGTCAGTCTGAAATGTAATAATCATGTTTTAGAACAGTCCGTGGAGTATCCTTGACCTAGTCCATACTCTTTTTTAAAGAAAGAAGGATTCGCTCTTCACATATCTTATTGACTTGTAGCTGTTAAGGGATTTTCTCAAATGTTTTGCTGTAAATTTTACACAATCCATTTTGTTATAGCTCTAAATCATAACTTAACCTTGTTAATCAAATATACTTTTTGGAATAGAAGTTCAATTTTTCTTTACAAATCGTTAAAGCCACCATTTTTTGAAACCATTGTCTACATTTGGCATTCCGTTTTTCTCACTTTTCAAATTGTTATAACCTTGGTATTGTTACGTTAATGCCTTTCCAACTAAACAAAATTGATTGTGTAAAATCAAGTGAAAAACCAATTCGATGGCACCTAACATTTAATGTCAATCTTAATGTGGAAGTTACCACAGCAAATGGAATTACACATTGTATATTAGATGTACATGTTCTGTATATAAGATGTTTGGAATCTATGAACATGTATTTTATTTGTATTACACTAACAAAACATGTGATTTGGATATTCATGTACAGTATACTATTGTCTCAGAAAACATCCACTGTCACTCCACTGGGTTTTTGTATGTTGTGCTGTTAACAATGTACACATTCCATTACACTGTTCAAAGCTTATCTTGTTAAGTTGTATTCCCTCTCTGAGCCATTGGTACAATGTTTTGAAAAAATATTAAGTGAGGAGGGGGTGCATTAGACTCAATCCAATAGTTATAGGAAAATATATTGTTAGCTAAAGTGTGGTAGAAGATTTCTTGATAAAAAAGACTGTGAATCACATAATGACACAACCAGTTTTGCTAAGATGGAAATATACGCTGGTACAAATGTACGATACAATTACTTAAACAATTATGAAGTTCAAACAAAGAGACGGTATCATGAAAGATAATATTAACTTAATTCAAAGATATTGTCGTGAAAGTTAATATTCTTCCAATTTCTGATACTCTAGCCAATGAGTGAACTCAAATTAAGAGATTTAAATCAAAATCTATTATCAGTGTAGGCATTTAAGCAGTATAGATTTTGAGTCATATTTTGCTTATATTGATAGAAAGTTTACAATATATCAAATATCTTTAATGTACACTCAGCATTGATTGAGTCTCACTGAGTGAAATGCATTCAGTGAAAATTGCCTCATAATTAAATTTCATTTATGAGTTGTAGAGTAATTATACATGTATAGCCAAGAAAAGAAACCCAATGTTTTTGCCAAGTGAAATGTCTTCCTCATGACTTACATTCATAGATTCATATACAAAGTCATTTCAATTATATCTCAGGTTTTGGTATGATTTTAGACATTATTGAAATCTACGCATTTTCTAAGATTTGAATTTGTATTCTTTTTATTCACTTTATCGGTGATAAAAGGTATTTTTAATTTGGCACACCAGGGGAACAAAAAATCATTTATATGTTAAATTAATGTACTGTACTTTTGCCCAAGAACATCAAACCTTTATGTGTGAAGTAGGATTAATAGTGTACCAGAATCAATTTAAAGGAATAGAGGATTAATATTAATTTCTGTAGAATCAATTGGAAGGGTGTGATTCTAATATGTATAGAAATGAAAGACTATTGGAAATGTTATTTCTATATACATATATTTATAGATGTCATATGAAAATATGAAATTGTTGAAGTGTACACGACATGTAAGAATGTCCTATACATTGAAATTCAAGTAAATGTGTACAAGTTATACAAAAATATTATTATACATATGTATGTAAGTATGTCATATACATCATTATTATAAACATGTACATTCAACACCTTTGTATGGTATGACTATTTTGAATAATTAACATTCAGGGATTTTGAAAATACTGCCATCCTGAAATAAAACCTTTCATGGAAAATTTCATGGTTAATTTTAAATATCTGAACTTCAATTACACAGGGAGATATGCTGAGTGCTAAAATAATAGTCATGGCATTTTAGCACTAATTGAGTACTCATTTCATCAACTTTGAGTACTAAATGAGCACTAATGACAGGAGTGCTGATTTATTGCATTTTTAGTACTAAATTAGTACTCATATGATGAGTGATAAAATAGCACTAATTTCATTGATTTTTTGATTACTCAATGAGCACTCATACTATGAGCACTGATTGAGTGCATGTTTTAGTACTAAATGAGTATTCATATCATGAATTAGTACTAAATTAGCACTTGTGGCATGAGTGCTCATGAGCGTGCTTTTGCCAGAGTGCTAATTTAGTACTAATTTTGTACTATTTTAGTACTCGGCATATCTCCCTGTGTATATGATGAGTCATACGCCTCGTACTTTGTATCAATCAATTCTAGGTGATTTAAAGCATATATTCTATTTATACTTAATATCCCTATACCTCTTCATTTTAATATTCCATTCTTAGCATTAAAAGGGGAATTTTAATCCATGCTTTTTTTATTTATTGATTATAGGGGCTTGTTAATATTATTCTTCTTCTGCATATGTCATTTCCACACCTAATATAAAAACTACTTAGTTTTTTTAAATCCATCAAACTTGACAGAAATCCTGATAGTTTAAAAATCAAGTCATAAAGTATCAGAACAAAAAATCTGATCCAAACAATTTATGAGGTTATGGCAATTCATGTATAATGATAAGTGCGCAGTCAGATTCAAAGGTTGTCCCACTCTGCCTATTTTAAAAAATAAATTATAATGGAACATAGCATACTACTGTACATTGATTATTGTACTCATATATGCTACACTGATTATTGTACTAATGTATGCTACATTGATTTTTGTACTCATATATGCTACATGTATTATTGTACTCATATATGCTACATTGATTATTGTACTCATGTATGCTACATTGATTATTCCACTCATATATGCTACATTGACTATTATACTCAAATATGCTGCAGTGATTATTGTACTCATATATGCTACATTGATTATTGTACTCATATATGCTACATTGATTATTGTACTCATGTATGCTACATTGATTATTGTACTCATATATGCTGTAGCGATTATTGTACTCATATGTGCTGGTTCATTAGACTACAATGATTTATACAATCTAGTTATAATTGTACTCATATGTGCTGCAGTGATTACTTACAACTGTCTCAGTGCATATTCTATGTTATTGTTAATCTAATATCAGGGTTCGTACACCTTTTTCAAAATGAAATCCCCTGACATTTCCCTGACATTTCCAGGCAAAAAAGAAAAATCCAGATCTAGTTTTGCTAGCACGGCATCCTGAAAAGTCTCAAACAACTGTATTATTTAAAAGACAAGACTTATTATGAAACATTTTGGGTTTCTCCTTTAGTACCATTTCTCATGACTTATCATTACTTCTACAAGCTGTCTTATTCACCAATTTATTCCTGATACATTATATTTTTGATTTTACATTGCTTAAGGCCAAAGGTAAACACACATGAACAGGGGCGTAGCCAGCGAATGTCAAGGGGTGCATTTTCTGGGTTTACATCGCTGTGAGCAAAGTGAAACCCAAAAGGGTGGTACAGGGGTTCACCCCCGGAATTTTTTTTTAATTTCCATTGTTTATGGTGCATTCTAAGCATTTCAAACTTTAATTTGTTGATGTTTTTATGAATCCAAACGACAACTGAAACTTAAACATTTTGATCTAAAATCATACTAGAAAATAGCAACTCCCTTGAGGGGCAATTCCCACCTAATGAAACATTTTGTTGAAGACTGATCATTGTGAACCTGGCATTACTAGTCTTCTCCCTTTTTGGAAAATCTAAACCAAAACATGATACCATATTTGAAATTCCTTCTCGAGTAGCAAATCAATTAATAAATCAATTAATCTGCATTTGTGTTATCAGGAATCATATTTCTTTAAGCTATCAAAATTTTCAAAAAATTGTGGCCATTTTGAATTCAGAGACCATCTTGAATTTTCATCTTGAGCTGAGGTCCTCTGTCCCTAAAATTTGAGACCAATCTGTCAACTGGTATTTGAGTTATCGCCCTGACAATTGGACAAATGTGTCCAAATGACAACAAGGAAGTGTTAATGGAGACACATAAGAAT